TACAGTTCAAGATCGTGTAAATCATGCAAGGCTTGTTTTGTTATTTTTCAGAATGGTACTACCGTAAGACTAAAGCATTTACATCTTATGCATTCAATGCAAGAACATACAAATACAGCCATGAACGAGAAAAATGTAAGTTTTATAAAATAMCTATCTTAATAAATGAAAGTGTGGAAGTCAATTCACGACTAGCTACCACAAAGAGTTATTTTAGGAAAAGAATTAGTAACCTCAGGATTTTGCTCCACAGATTTTGGCCCAGAAGACTGGGGTGAGGTGTCTAAAGTATGCAAAGACGGCAAAGCACAGTCCCCAATCAACATCATTTCCAAAAAGGCAACAAAGACAAAGTTTGGAYCTTTGAAGCTCAAATTTAAAACTGAAAACAAYAATGATCTTTTCTCGGGTTCATTTGAGAATAATGGTCACGCACCAACATTCACTTTGAATGCAAAATCAGGTAAAGAATCTTTGCTGTACTCTCTCTCTAGACTTCGATATTCTCTTTCATTACTTCTCTTTTTCATTTTTTTTATTTATCCATCCATTTCTTCTTGATTCCTTTCTTACGTTTTGCAGAGTACTGTATGTCCCACATAACAATCAATCGATGATTACACAGCACTGATTTAGATCTTGATTTCCATCTTATGTTCAATTAATCCACTCATTCTTTACTTTTTTTAAGGAAACATCTCCATCAAATTCGACAAGAAGAAGTATCTCTTGCATCAGTTTCATTTTCATTTTGGATGTAAAGACAGCCAAGGTTCTGAACATACCATTGACAAAAAGGCATACGATGCTGAGGTATGCTGATGGCATTCCTGCAAATTTTGTTAGCGATAAAATCTCCATATGTGACCATGTGACCATTACACGTTGCCCAAGATTTTGATACTGACTTTTCAATCTTCACTATCATGTCACTATGGCAATCAACTTGAGTTAGTTTATATAGTTTATATAGTCCAAATGTCAGTCGCAATATACAGTAAAAGACCGAGTATGATCTGCTTCGATACAACATCGTATTTTTAAAAATACTTTCTAAAGCTAATTCAATTCCCAGTCTATTTGATGTGCACGGCTAATCCTCTTATTGCGCACGTGTAGAGGAGACTGGACATTTCGGTCAGAGCTCGTTTTTATCATGCACTGTACTCTTCGAAAAACTATTATTACCTTTCATAGTCATCACTGCTCTAGTTGTTAAGTATTTTGCTGCTTTGCAGATGCATTTAGTATTCCGTAACAAAAAATACAAGTTCGAAAAAGCGACGCAGAAAAAAGATGGCTTATTGGTGATTGGAGTTCTTATCAAGAAGGTATTAATAGAT